CCCCGGCGCCACCCAGACCCCAGAAGCTCTTCTCCGGGCTGGAAAGGTCCCTCCCCGGGAAGCCAAGAACGTTCCCTGGCTCTCCCCAAAGTAGGGACAAATGCCTCCTTTCTCTGAGTTGCGTCGGAGAGAAGAAAGCCCCCTCATTCTTCCTTCGTCCCAGGCAGGTCCCGGCTACCTGGGACCCCTGCGGGGGGGTCCCTGTTCCCCAAACCCCCGCCGCCACCCCCGCAGTCACCTGTACGCGGGCCGCGTGAGCCTCTTGTCTTCGTCGGAGCTGCCGGCGGGGTAGTCGTCGGCGTCGTAATTGAAGCAGTTGTAGGGATACTGCGAGCTGTCAAACATCCTGGAGCGCCCCGGCTGCAGCTGCCGCCTCCTCCACGCCGTCCGCCGGCTTCGCGCAGAGCCGTCTCCACGCGGCCCAGCAGCTACTGCACTGTGGGCTTCTCTCCGCCGGAGCCGGAACCTGGGTTTCTGGGGTCCCCCGCCTGCCCCCACCCCGTCCTCTCGCATCCAATCCCGGCGCGAGGGAGGCCCCAGCCACCCGTAAAGCGGCCGAAGGGAGCGGAGCGGGGCGTCTCGGTGACCCTCTGACCTCTGCGGGGGGAGGGAGGAGGAGGCGGCGCGCTGGGTGGTCCGACGGGCGGGGCGGCCCCCGCTCCTTTCCCAGGGAGCTCAGGGCGGGGCTCGCTCCGTCCCCGTCCCTGGAGGCAGTCTGGGGTGTCCTCGCAGCCTCCCTGCACTGACGGAAGTCTCTTCGGAGCGCCCTGGTCCCGTGCACCCCGGTCCCGTGCGCCCCTGTCCCGTGCACCCCGGTCCCGTGCGCCCCGGTCTCGTGCGCCCCGTTCTCGTGCGCCCTGGGGGCGCCTGAGACTCGGTGGTGCTTTCTGGGCGCCGGGATCCCCCGGTGGACACTTGGGTCTCAGCAGAGAGCACAACCCGGAGTCGGCGTCGGAGACCAGGACTGTGGCCCCCTCCGCCACCTGCGCTGTCCGCTGCTCTCCACCCCAGAGCGGCCGGGGGTCCAGGCCAAATCCGTGGTGCCCGGCGGCCGTCTCCTGGCCTTGGTCAGTGGGTCAGCTAAGCCAGAAACGCAGGTCCCAGCGCTTTCTGCAGCGCCCGGTGCTCCCGCCCCGCGGTCTCTCAGTACCTGGAAGTGAGTCTCCGCCGGGGCCCCGAGAGAGGTGGACTCCCCATCGCAGAGTCGCCGCTTCACGGGTCCCCTCTGGGCTGAAGCTCCGTTTTAGGTGCACGCAGAGGGAAGAGAAGAGAAGCCATCCGGGTTAGGAAATCCTGCAGAAAAGTAGAGAGGCGGGATCCTACGGGAGTAGGGGGCTTTGTTTCACGGTAGGCACGAGAGCCGTGTCTGTGAGTCGGTCTGAGGCCAGAAAGCCCTGGATAGACACAGTCTTCTTCCAGGAAATGTCGCCTTCACAGCAGCACCTTCAGCTCTGAAACGACCCAGACGGCGGGGCATGGGGGCTCATACTTGAAACCCCAGCTCTGTGGGAGCCCGATGTGGGAGGATCGCTTGAAGCCAGGAGTTAGAGACCAGCCTCAGCCACAGAGTGAGACCGCCGTCTCTATAAAAAATAAATGAATGAATGAGCTTGTTAAAATATGAGGTGACTTATACTGCTTGCACCCAGTTGGCCCCAGGGGTGCCTGGAACTGTCGCTGCCCTTGGTAAAGCCACGTCTGCAGGCGGGCTCAGCGCCCCGGGGGTCCCCCTTGGAGGAGAAACCTGGCACATGGGGGTGGGCACGTGCAACTCCCCCTTCTGGGGTGGGCACTATGGCTGCCTGGCCTCGTTCGGGATCCGAGTCACACTCAGGCTCGAACACACTCAGTGACTCTGTATTGTCCCCTTAATCAGATGTCAAAACTAAATATGCCGGAAGGAGGAAAGGTAAAATGGTACAGCCCCTCTCCAAAACAGTTTGAGTTTCTTTAAAACCTGACCATGTAGCCACCATGATCCAGAAGTTACACTGGTGACCATCTATTCCCAGAGTGCAACCCCGGTTATGGTCACACAAAACCCTGCTAATTAACGTTTATAGCAGCTTTCTGTCCAATAGCCCCGAACTGGAAGCAAGCCAGATGTCCGTCAAAGGGTGAACGGTTAAATAAACTGTGGTACATCCACGCTGTGGGTTATGGCTCTGCAACAAAAAGGAACAAACCACGAATGTATGCCATGGTCTCGGTGAATCCCAACTGTGTGAAAAGCAGCTTGTAGAGGCTCCAGACGACATAATCCCCCTTACATGAGAGTGCGAAGAACAGGTGGGATCACAGAGTCATGCAGCCACCTCTGGAAAACACAGCCCACCACAGAGAGGGCCGGAACCGGAGAGCAAGGGAGACAGAGAACAGGAAGAACCAAGACTCTTCCACTGAGTGAGCCTGTGCACCCAAATTGCAAGACGCCCATGGAAATCTAAAGAAAGGCGGCCACCCAAGTCCACAACTGGAAAAGGAATCCACTCGTGATCAGATAAACTTTGTGGAGCAGTTGGACCAAAACCTGATGCCTTAAAATAAAGATGCTGATTCCCTGTCAGATAAACAACTTGCGAATACTGTCTCCCATTCTCCCATTCCACGGGTTTTCTTCACGGTGTCCTTTCGTGCACGAAAGTTCTTAATTTTAATGAAGTCCAGTTTACCGATTTCTCTTTATTGCCTGTACTTTCGCTGTCATACACATTCATGGATTTGTCAAATCCAACGTCATGAAGATCTTCACCAATTGTTTTTCTAAGAGCTAAATGATTCACCCCAAAAAAAGGGTGAAATTTTGATATGTGCTACAACACGGATGGACTTGAAAACATCACGCTTAGTGGAATAAGCCTGACACAAAAGGATAAATGCTGTGTGGTTCCACTAGTTTGAGGTCCCCGGAGTAGTCAAATTCATAGAGACAGAAAGTGGACCGCCAGTTATGGGGGCCTGGAGGAGAAGGGAGGGAAGCTTTGTTCTTTAACATGCACAGAGCTTATGTTGGGGATGATGAAAACGTTTGGGGTAGGGTGGGAGCAGCAGCTCATGCCTGTAATCCCCACCCTTAGGGAGGCCAAGGTGGGCCGATCATTTGAGGTCAGGAGTTCGAGACCAGCCTGGCCAACATAGTGAAACCCCATCTCTACTAAAAATACAAAAATTAGCTGGGTACGGTGGTGTGTGCCTGTAATCACAGCTACATGGGAGGCTGAGGCAGGAGAATCATTTGAACCTGGGAGGTGGAGGTTGCAGTGAGTCAAGATTGAGCCACTGCACTCCAGCTTGGGAGATGGAGTGATACCCTGTCTCAAAAGTAAATAAACAAAAATTAACTCAAAATGCATCATAGACCTAAATGTAAAACATAAAACTATAAAGCTTGTAGACGAAAACATAGATGAATATCTTTTTTTTTTTTTGAGACAGAATCTTGCCCTGTTGCCCAGGCTGGAGTGCAGTGGTGCAATCTCAGCTCATTGTAAGCTCCGCCTCCCAGGTTCCAACTGTTCTCCTGCCTCAGCCTCCCAAGTAGCTGGGACTATAGGCGCCCGCCACCATGCCTGGCTAATTTTTTTAAATTTTTAGTAGAGATGAGTAGAGACAGGGTTTCACCGTGTTAGCCAGGATGGTCTCGATCTCCTGACCTCATAATCCACCCGCCTCGGCCTCCCACAGTGCTGGGATTACAGGCGTGAGCCACTGCACCTGGCAAGATGAATATCTTTATGATCTTTGGTTAGGCAAAGATTTCTTTAATCTGACACCAAAAACATGATCTATAAACAAAAAAATGCATTACTTGCACTTTAAATTGAGAACTTCTACTCTTAAAAGACAGGAGAATTACAAGACAAGCTGCAAACTAGGAGAAAATATTTGCAAAGCAAACAGCCCAGTTTTTAAGATGGCACTTCACCAAAGAACATACAGCACATGAAAATTTGCCCCACGTTGTCATCCATCAGGGAAATGTACATTAAAACCACAACAAGACACCTCCACACATCTGTTAGTGCAGCTAAGAGGAAAAAGAGAACAAAACTGTGATGGTTCATTTTATGTGTCAACTTGACTGGGCCACCACGCTCAAATATTTAGTCAAACATTATTCCGGATGTTTCTGTGAAGGTGTCTTTTGGATGAGATTGACATTGAAATCAGTGGACTTTAAGTAATGCAGACAGCACTCCAGGATTGAGTGGACTCATCCAATCAGTCAAAGACCTCAAAAGAACAAAGACTGAGCTCCCCAAGCCACAAGGATTCTGCAGCAGATGCCTTCAGATTCCTTCTTGAGTCCACAGGTGTAATCTGTGGACCTATGCCATCCGATTTTGCCAGGCTTCCACAGTCACATGAATCAACTCCTTAAATTGTCTCTCCCCTCCCAGTGCCTGCTACACAGACGTGTACACACATGTGCACACATGTGTGCACACACGCATGCACACACACCCCTGTTGATTCTATGTTTCTGGAGAACCCTGACTAATACAACAACCAATGAAAACCATCTCCAAATACCAAGTAGTGGAGAGGAGACACAGCAACTGGAACTCTCACTTGTTCCTGGTGGGCATCCAAAGTGGCTCAGCCATTTGGGACTCTAGCCTGGCAGTTTCTTGCAGTTACATATACATATTTATTCCATGCCCCAGCCATCCTTGTTCTAGGTGTTTGACAAGTCAAATGCTAACTGGTATAGAAAAACCTGTTTATGAGTGTATGAGGGTTTATAGTGGCTTTATTTGTTTTCCCTAAAAACTGGAAACAACTCAAATATTCTGGTGAGCAAATGAGCTGTGGTATCGCCATGTGCTGGAATACTATGCAGCCATGAAAAAGGAAAACCACTGAGGTGTGCAAGGCTGAACCCCAATGCATTATGCTGAATGAAAGCAATGTGGTCAAAGGTTCTTACTGAATAATTCCACTTACACAACATGGTGCAAGACAAAACCATGGGGACTGAAAATGTATCAGCAGTTGCCAGGGGCTGGGGATGGGAGGAGACAGGTTCTGGGCAATGGACCCGTTCTTGTCTTGGCTGTAGTGTTGACTGCATGGCGAAATGCACTTGTCAAAACTTGCCCAGCTGTACACTAAGAAGCATGGATTTCACAGTATCAAGGTTATATCTTATTTTAAAAACCACTTTGATGATCTTAAAGATGAAAAATAGCCACTAAGCAAAGTAGACCAGATGCCATTGAAGATATAATTAGGAAATTGGAATGGCCAGGTGCAGTGGCTCATCTGTAATCCCAGCACTTTGGGAGGCCAAGGTGGGAGGATCACGACGTCAGGAGATCGAGACCATCCTGGCTACACCGTGA